CCATGCATGAAGTATAGGCTGGACTAACAGAGAGGAAAGAGGAAAAGGAGAGGAAGGCAGAGGAAGGAGACACCAGTTGCCCTTCAGGGAACATCATGTAGAGGCAACAGGTAAAGCCATGGAACACGTGGCAACATATAGAGTAACAGAAATGGACTTAGTATAAGAGTAAGAGCTAGACAGTGGTAGGCCTGAGCTAATGGCCAAGCAGTTTAAGTAATATAAGAGTCTGAGTGATTATTTAGTATGTGGGTTTTGGGACTGCGAGGGCTTGGTGGGACCTGGAGAGAAGCTCTCCAGCTACATTAACTGAAAACCAAATGCTGTATTAGAGAGCCTTTACAATGCTTTAAAACCTGAAGAGCATTAACAGAAGGCTTGAGTGATAAAACAAACAAACAAAAATCTCTGGATCTCTCTGCACAACTTTCAGGTAGCTAGGTAGCTCAGGGGGTCTTTTTTCTCCATAGATTTATTGCTTATATAACTAAGGGGACTTTGCAGAAAAAGATCAAGCTTAACTTAGAGGTAAGCAATTGAGACCATTCATTTAACTCAGGGCCACTTCAGTACCCAGAAGTGTCCAAAGAAAAGGAAAAGACTATGATATCCCAGAGGCTCTGAGAAATAAGAAAAAAATGTTTAGGTTAATTGGGAAGAAATAACTATTCTAAAATGGCTACAAAGGGAGTTCATTATCCAATAGTTGTATTAAAGGGGAAAAACAGTATTATTTGAAATTTTAAAAATTGAAAATAACAACGTGCTTTTTAAAATAAAAAGAGGAGTAAATGTAAGCAACTATGAGAATCTTGTCTTTGCTCTAAAGCTCAAGCTACTGGTTATAATGTAACTGCTGTAATGTAAGAGGAGTTAGAATTCAAGGTGAATTTGAGTTGGCATCTCCTTTAAGAGACGCAAAAGGTGAGAAAGAACAGCACTGGGAAGTCCAAAGAGAGGCCACAGCCTCCTCGTATTTCCTAAAAGCTATTGAAAGGAATTTAGTATTATCTCCTTTGGAAGAGACAATTGTAATTGATGAGATTTAATGGAAGAATGGGGGTCAATCTATTGTTAGTCTTTTAAAACAATTAGATTTCTACCTGTAGTAGAGGAGGCTTATAAGCTATCATCCATACGATGAAATAAATAAGCTGTAGGAAGATTCTGTCTGCCAGAGTGCATTTTTTTATTATCCACCATAGGCAGAGGATGGGGCTACTGATTGTACCCTAGGGGAACCATAGTACTTGATTATTGAGAGAAGGCACTAACGAAACAAACAAACAAATAAACAAAAAAAAAACCTTCTTAGCATCAGTGCATAGAGGATAGTGGAAAAAAAGTAATCGTTTTTAATGGATAACAACAATAACATGGCAATTTTGAGGTAATATGGTATTCTCCAGATTTAGATACTCCAAGCTGTGATAGCAACCTGACAGCCTAATGGTGCTGATTATTGCAATGGTGCCATGACCACCAGTATGTGGGTGATCAAAAGATTCCTGATGGAATTTCAAGCCACTTTGTAAGAAGAATTTATATACCTTGTACTTTAGAGTTGGTCAAAGGCAATGTCTAAGAAGGCCATAGGCACTAGGGGTGAACCTACTACTTTTATTTTGAAACATGAGCATGTTGTTAACTGCCTCTTAATATTGATTTTTTTTATATCCATGTACTGTTGTCTGTAGTCTTGACCAAAGTAGCTTCTCTTTGCAGTGAATGGTGCTACTTCAAAGGTTCATAAATGGCCAAGGTTCTGAGAACAATTGAAGGCTGAGTGGTCCTCATTCATCAGGATAGCCACATCATACCCTCCAAGGTTGGGGAAACTTCTTGGCAGAAGCAGCATGTTAGAGCCTAACAATGAGGATCAGTGAATTGCTCATTAGTAGACACCTTTGCTCTCCTTTCCAAACAAGTGGCCTGGTTAAACTCAGTGGGATGTAAAGCAAAAACAAGAAGAGAAACCAGACACGGGACCATGTGATGAAGGCATGGTGGGAGGATGATGAGGGAGCCTGGAAGATAAGGGTGCCCAGAACATCCTCTACACAAGTATGAAATTATCCAAGAATAAATTAATTAAAACAGAAAGGCAAGGAGGGAAATTTCTAGAAAATGTACTCTGATTTGTCTAAATCACCCAGCCTTTAAACTGAGGGTTCTTGGGTCTCAGAAAGTCATTTGTCCCATGCCCCCTCTTCACAGGAAGAAGAATAGAAGGCACTTAATTTCCCTTGTGTTTTGGTCTGTAGTTCCTGCACTTAGAAAACCCAGACATCTTATAAGTCTATTACCTTTAGACCCATTTAATAAGCTTAATTTATCAAAATAATCACCGAATTGCCTTTCTTAAAGTAAGCCTAAATTCTACATGCAATTTTAGCTTCAAGAAAAGTTTAAGCACTGCGTTATACTGATTTTTAAAAGTAGCCTTCACTTAGATGAATCTTTTACTTTGTTCAGTTTTAAGAGCTCATCAAATGTTAAACATGACAATGAAACTATAGCAAATTCTACCATTTTCATGGATTCTCTCTTTCTTGAAGGGGTGAATTATTTATATTATGCACTTACTGATGATATATAGTCTGAAAGTGACTGTGCAGTCCCACACATTTTTCAGACAAGTTAACAATCTGTCTCTTTGGGCAACTGAAAATTATCGGATGTTAGAAGTATTTTGTATTAAATAAACAGGTAAAAGTTCTCAGATGAGGGTTAGACTTCAGAGTGTGATACTCATTTACCTGGCACAGCCTGAGATGAAGGCCCGGAAGCCAAAACAAGCTAGCACTGGCTTAATCAAGATGGGGGGCGGGGGCTCATAGAAACTGAGCCCTTTGCCCTTTTAACTTGGATTTCTGATGATCAGAAATTTGTATTGATTCGTGATTACTCTTAATTAAATCAGAAGTTTCTCTTACTGTGATTTCAGTGGTTAATAGATTTGATCATTTGTATTTGACACGCAATGTGTCATGTGGCAGAAAAGTCACTCTGGCTTATTTCTGAATATTGTGTTTTATAAAACCTGGCTTAAATTGCTTTAGTTTTTGCAAACATTCTACTTACTCAGTATACTTATGTGAGAAAAACAGAATTCTTTGTCAGAAAACTATGTATGCCTTGCTTAATGAGTATGGCAGAGAGTAATAATAGATATGAGTGAAGAAGTTTGCCTGCTGCAAACCCCATTTCTCTTCATCACAACCTTCAGCTTCTTACCCTGATTGGCTACAATATTGTTGCTAGCTGTAGAATAGTTGCTTCTCACTTCCGGTCTTTTTATTACAAGGTTTGTTCTCCCAACCATATTGACAATCAGTTTATACATATGACTTAACCTGGCCAATAAATTGTAAACCAACGCAATATGTGCCTCTATCCACGAGAAATGTTAAAAAAAAAAAAAAACCTGCACATGGTAAAAACCTGCACATGATTCTACTACTGCTATTTTGCCTCGAGAGTTAGACCCAGTCTGAATGACAAGAGTCATCCCCTAGGCCTGAAATAAAAATGAATATAGATACATAAAAGAGTTGCAACCCATCTTCAAGAATTATATAATATGCAAAGATAATCAATTTTTATTGTTAAAGCAAGCAGGATTATGGTTGTTTCTTGTCATGGGGGTAAAGTTTTTGTAAGCTGACTGATGTAAGCTGTGTCTTTGGCTGCCCACTACCATATCCACAAACCACGGCAGAACATACAGTGCAATCTGTTGGACAAATGAAGGAATCAGAAAAAGAGATACGGCAGTGCTTCTGCTTAATTACAATTTTATTCATTTACTAGCCACGGTGATATCATGTATTCAGGTCACTATGACAAAGTGCAGATCTATTTTAAGAGTAAGCACGCTACCCTGGTATGCCAGCAGCAATTTCAATACTTAGAGATTTGAGATATTAAAGTTTTAAGTATAACAGAATGTTCAAGTGCATAAGAGTTGTCAGTGCGGCTGAATAAAGATCCCAGTTCTTGCAGATTAAATGGTAATCTCTATCTCTTAGTTTTTTTCTGCCTGGGGAGCTTTGATAAAAATAAGAGATTCTATGCTGCTTGTGCTTATCAAGCATGACCACACACTTCCTCCTCCTGCAGGGGGGTTAGATTCATTTTACTCTTAATTAGTCCTGTGATTAATTTAGGTAAAGTTCTGTAGGATCTTTATTTTTCCTCAGTTTGAATAGTTAAATGATTAGTGTTTCACAGTCTGCCATGAGCTGTCTCCAGAGGAAGTGTTTTGTCCATGACCTTTCATATCCCTGACAGTGAATGCTGGCCTTTGCTGATTTAACATATGTGTCCATGGGGAGGAATTATGTACTCCAACCATGTATGATGCACAAATTTCAGTGTGGACTAAAACAGCAAAAGATAAGGAAAAAAATCTGACATGATGCAATGAAGTTCATTTGCATGTATAAATACATGTGAACATGCCTTAGAAGACTAATAGTTGCAAGCTTTATTCTTTGCTGTAGTTTGGTCCTCTTGGAGACTTCTGAATAGTCCTAGACATACATCAACAAGATGAAATTTTTGTCCTCTTGTAAGAGAAATCTGTCATTATATTCAAGTATGGCTTTTCACAGAGTAAGAAATCTACCTTTTCGCTATCTCCGACAGCTGGGTCAGGACCCAAGAAAACACAAGGAAACATTTCTCTCCATTCCTGATTTTCATCTTCAATGGAACTCTGTAGGAATGGAAGTTAGTCTGAGTCAATACAAAGGTGGATACGCTTCTCCAGTTTTGTAGTAACATGAGTTTCTATCTGAATAGGAATGTTTGCCTCCAGCTCTTACTGTGTTAAAAAAGGAAAAAAATGAAACAAGAAAAGGAAAAGTACCACTGTGATTTCAGCTAATACTGAAGATTATGTGTTGTCTTACCAAATAATCATCTGAATGCAAAGTATATCATTTGGGAAGTTTGACTAAGCATGGAGGCCTAACACTCTTCTTTTTGTCTTTTAGCGATGGCAATGAATATGTTCGGTGCTTTCCCTTTCACTGTATCCCTCTCTTGATTGAAGGCAAGTCATTTATAATGAATGATGCCTTCAAGGTAGACTGAGATCACTGCCTGCCATCCAGCTGGTAATGGGAAAGCTGCAGACATGGTAGGTAACAAGTTACCTCATTAATTTTCTCAGACACATTCCAGACAATAAACACCTGATTTGAACCTTTGGGTACAGAGAAACACCTTGGCCTTCAGTGAACATTTCTGTTCCCAAAATGCCCAGACTTTTGATACATTTCCTATTTTTCTCCTAGTGAATTAAGATATTCTGAATATGGTTTTTCCCTTCTATGGGATAATGTATATGTGCCACTTTGCCTTGTCCTCATCATGGAATTGCATATAATGAGAAAAATGCATCTGTGTGGTTTGTGAATGGAGCACAAAGGTAATTTGGGTGCATTTGCCTGTAATTGGAGGGCCCCTGCCTATGAAGCCACAAAGACTGGGTGACCCTGCACACTCTTGTTTTGACAAAGTAACTAAAGTGCTTACATTCAGCCACTGTTGATATATGGAGGTTTGCTCTGCTGGATGACGCAGAGAATAGTAATAATGATGATAATCACAGAGAAGATAATGGGAGAGGGAGCATATTTAGAAAACAATGTCCTGTCTTACTGAACACCAACAAAACAGGGCACCCAGGGAGCCTACTCAACACAGCAGCTACACAGAGAGAGTTGCCATTTCTCATGCCCTTTGCAGCCAACACAGCTACTGTGCCTGAGCTCTGAGAAACAGTCTCAACACCATGGAGCCAAAAATCTTATCAAAAATGAAACAAAGCCATGAAGCACTCTCCCATCAGCCATTATCCTAGGAGATTGGTTTCCCACCTCGAGAGAATTACCCTTAGAAATTTCTTTCCTGAGATCTGGAGGGTACCAGAAGCCTTCTTTTCTCTTCAGGGTTATTACCTTCATAGGCATGTGTATTACTGAGAGAGGAAATTTGAAATTCACAAGTCATAATGATGCATTCTCAGATGCAATGTGGGACCTCAAGAAAAACCTGAACTTCAAACTTTGGGAGCAAGAAATCACCTATACAGTCTCAAATTCAGATAGGAAGAGGCATTGTAGCACAAATAAGCAGAAGAAATCTTTAGAGCAATCTTTCTCCATCTTTAGAAGTTATAGTCTTCTGATGTTATGCTATGTTTGCTAGGAAAAATGTGCTCTGAGTAAGATTCAGAGTAAGATGATGGGATCCAGGATGGTAGTTGATTGATACAGCCATGTTAATAAGGATTCTAGCTATGAGACTGGACAATGCCACCAAGAGAAGCCTAGAACATTCTCCTGATGTCAGGGGCAGTAGCCTTCTTCTTCCTTTTCGTGTGTGTGTGTGTGTGTGTGTGTGTGTGTGTGTGTGTGTGTGTGTGTTTTCATGTTTGTCATATATATTTGTAGGCAAATTTGCCAATAATCAATCATTCCATTCATCAGCCGCTCCCCTAGAGCTGCCATTTTAGTACTAAATATTATAAAATTGTGCTGCTCAAGTTTTTGTTGCCTTACTTGTATGATGGACTGGGTGCTCCCACCTCTCAAACAAACAAACAAAGAAACAAACAAGGGGTTCAAGTGACTGAGCATTTCTTAGAAATGAACTGGATGTTGCCATTGCAGGAGAGTAAAGAACCAAAGCGTGTGAGTACAATGGAAGAGAGGACAGTAATATAGAGAAAGGTTCTGGGAAGAAAGCAGAGGCTTGGGTACCATGGGGGGTAGGAGGACAGTAGGAAGTAGTGTGATAGCAAACTGACTGACCCAGTCCCATAGGGTAGTGCACTCCAATGCAAAGGAAAGGCTTGGACACATAGTTGCTGGAGTGAAGTTGAAATGTGTGTGTGGTAAATAAACTTCCGTTTCAAGTCATGAGACACACTGCATTTCCACTTCCAGTGCATTGAGAAAAGGAGAGAGGGAAGGAGGAAAGGAGGGGAAGAAAAGAAAACTATCTGGCCAGTTTAATGAGGAAACTGTCCATTAAGCCAAGTATGCAAGATGCCATTGTCACTGGGCATCCATGTACATGGCAGGTTTGCTGTGGGAGGGTCTGTATGTCAAATCTGTTGCTCTGATTGGTCAATAAATAAAACACTGATTGGCCAGTGGCCAGGCAGGAAATAGGTGGGACAAGGAGAGAGGAGAATTCTGGGAAGCAGAAGGCTGAGGCAGAGAGACACCGCCAGCCGCCGCCATGACCAGCAGCATGTGAAGATGCCGGTAAGCCACCAGCCACGTGGCAAGGTATAGATTTATGGAAATGGATTAATTTAAGCTATAAGAACAGTTAGCAAGAAGCCTGCCACGGCCATACAGTTTGTAAGCAATATAAGTCTCTGTGTTTACTTGGTTGGGTCTGAGTGGCTGTGGGACTGGCGGGTGACAAAGATTTGTCCTGACTGTGGGCAAGGCAGGAAAACTCTAGCTACACAGGTTCCTGAGAAGAGAGAATGTCCAGCATTGCCCAAGAGACCTTCTCATGAGCATCATTTTCCAGGAAGATATTGTGCTGACCCAGTTCCCTCACCAGACCCTGAGAAACCCAGGTCTTCAGGGACCAACCGTGTGCTCAAGGCCTGCCAGCTGTTAGCAGAGCCTAGCTCCCAATCTGGGGTATTACATTCTCCCACAATGTCATATTACAAGTGCAGGTTCCTGTCTGTGTGGAGTGCCATGGCAGAGGGGACAAAGGAAAAGGAAAAAGTCATTGGCATATGCGCTGGGATAGGAAATCTGAGGAGGCAGACATGGTGAGAAAGGAGCCATCCTCCATACTGTGTCTGCTTGCATGACTTCCTGACAGGTCTTTGGTGTAGAGACTGTTAAAAGCCCCTGCTTTCATCTTGCTCTGGTCCTGAGATCTCCATAGGATTGTGGTGGGCTCAGGTTTGGGAAAGCAGACACCTAGCAGGATGCAGAGCAGAGTCCTGTGGTTGAAAGCCAGCTATGTATGTGGGTTCTCCCCATATCCCATTGAAGAATCAAAGATGGGAGTGTGACCTCATGGTTGACTTGGAGGAACATCCTCTAAGGTTTACCTCTTGTGCCTCTGTCCTTTAATAAAAGCTTGATTGTTCTGTGGTGTGATAGAATCCAAACTGTCATCATGGAGTTTCAACAAAATCATCTACTGATTTACAGCATTAGATTCTCATAACCGTAAATATTCAAGTTGTGTTTAACCTTAACTTAACATCATATATAAAAATTATATGCCTCTTTGGAGTTTTATTTATTTACATTCTTAAAGATTTTAAGAACCGTGAACAAGAATGATGTCTTTGTAGGATTGCTGAAGAGGTGTACAGAACAAAACACTAAAAAATGGTGGCATCAGTTGTGACCACAAATGCAGGTTCACACAACCAAGAGAGAATTTTGATCAAGAAAGAAACTGCTAAAGAGGGGAGGAGCCTATCTGCTGTGACAATAACTGAATGTATCTATAAATGAAAACATCTGCAACAGCCATGTTGGTGAGTTTCATTGAAAAAGACTCAATGTACTAAGTCTTTCTCAGTCCTGACTCTCACATTTCTAGGAGGTTCTAGAATATAAAGTTCTAAGCTGCTTCTATCTATGTATCACAGCAGCCACCTTCACTGTCATTCTATACTATCTGGGCATCTGTAGGAATACACAAGGCTTGCCAACCTTTCCTCTCTTCTCTCTGATTATTGCTCCTCTAAATAGTAGAAGAGACTTTTCAGGTTGGGCCTTGGGTGTCCCTTTATCACAAAGGGATCAGTGTTGCTTGCTATTTGTTCAAGGTATATCCCCATGGAGCTGTGTTTTGAATCCAAATCATTACTTGTATAGTAAGGGATGAGATGCTAATGCCTTCAAATGATGAAGCTTCATGAGGAAGAATTCACCCGAAGCATAACATTAGGTATCAAGTCAATTCATTACCCCAAAACAGAATGAATAAAAATGCTTTTAATTAAACTTTAAGTTTCTATTCAGTTCTTGGGATGGTTAATTTTAGTTATCAAGCAAATTAGATATAAAATTAATTAAGCATTGCTCTAAGAGGGCCAATCAGGCATTTCTAGGAAGGATTAAGTGAGGAGGGTGAATAAGTTCCTCAGGAACATGCTGCACCTTTCAGTCATAAGGAAGTCTGAGGGAAAGCTGTTGCTTTGTGCCTCCTTACCTTTTCCTGTTACTGGTAAGCACACCTACCACTGCTGCCATACTTTCCTGGTGTCAGAAACCCAGCTTTATTAGCCTTCTACCAGGAGCTGAAAACCACTGCTTCTCCAGGAGACTCCAGGCCTTAAGTGCCAGATAGTAAGTGCTGAGATATCCAGCCCTGTGGCTGAGCAACTCTTCACCTTTCAGGGATTCCAGCTTGCAAATCCTTTGTTAGGATGGTCAGCACATACTAGGTAAGTTAATCTAATGAATTCCCTCTTTAATATATGCTCGCTCTATTGTTTCTGCTGTTCTAGAAAACCGTGGGTGATGCAGTTGTCTAGACAGAAGCTAGAGAAGAAAGGAAAGCAGACTTTTTCAAATACATCTGTCCCTCTTCTTCATGAAACAAACTAAGCACCGGTTTTAGTTTAAATGATAGACCTTAGATCATCCACAGCACTTTACCCTAACCTGGGACAATGGTAAACTTTCCAAGTGTTCCATGGACTGTTTCATATAGTATCCCAAAAGAACACTTTTTCATGACTTCCTGGGTAATGCCTCCCAGCAAGGCTCAATCTACCCATAAATTACTTGGGAATGACTATGACAGATTCTGCGGACAGTAACTCTACACAGATTTTATTTATACCCTGTAAGTGAACCTGATATGATTTTAATTATGAGTGGCGTGTCTTAGAAGCTTGATGTTGCAATTTTGACAACAATTAACGTGGATGTGAAACTGACCAAATTATGGTGACTTCTGTGTCTTAAAGACCAAGGCTGTAGCCCATTTGTGTAGAATATACAGAGAAGTAAATTGTTAATAGGGTGTTGCTATTTTCTTTCTTTTTCATGATTTCCTCATTCCTTTACTTACATTTTCTATCTCTTGATTTCTCCTCTTCCCCTTCCTTCACTACATTCCTTTCCTTCTCTTCCTGCCTTTTCAAGGTTTTCCTTCATTCCTGACATATTTACTTTCTAGATTAATATGAAACACTGAAGATTCCTTAAGAATGATGCTGGTCCCAGCAAGTCAGAATAGAAGCTAGGAGATAAAACATCACCAATAATGATTTGCAAAGCAGTCTGCAGTCTTCACATAGCCCAGACACATCAGAAAATGGACTCTTCACCTAGCTAAGCTATCTGGTATAAGCAACATCCCAGCCTACCCTGCTTTCTGTCTAATCACAGGAACTTCAAGGTAAGGTTGTGGGTGGATCTTCCCACATTTTTGCAAGCTAATTAAAAGCTGATTTTGTTTTCTATAACTCAATAAAAGAAAGAACTAAAGAGGTTAACTCCCACTAATTTATATTTTTCAAATTTTCAAATGTTATAAAACTACTTAAAGTACATTAACATTTGTATTTATAAAATCCATATGAATCTTTTAATTGGTAATAACCATTTAGCATTAATCACATTGCCTGTGAATCCAATTGGACTTGTGGAGTCAGTGAGTACATCATTTAAGCCATTTAACCAAATGCTTCTTGGGAAGGCTCAAGGTCTATTAAAGCATTATTTCTCATTCACCACAAACTTTGAAAGCTGTGCCTTTGAAATATTCCTCCTAGGGTAGGGAGAAAAGCAATGAAAAGAAAATGTCTTTGTTTAAAAAGGACTGTACTGTTGGGTGGAATTTAAAGCATGGTTTGAATTTGGTTAGTAACCTCAAGATATAAAAAAAAAATTCTAGTGTTAGCTTCTAATCAGTACATAATTCACACTTCAGACACCTTCTTAGCGATCCCTGGTGGACTGCACATCTTTGAACAAAGATTCCTAAGGACTCGTTAGACCTTCATCTTTCTGAAAGTGGAACTGTTTCCCAGATAGGAGAGAAGGCACAGGAGCACTGGAGAGTATGTGCTTAGCAAGCCAGTCTGCCATTCTATGAGAGACTTAAGCTGATGAGAATACAGAAAAGTGAACTACATGCTTAGATAAATCTGCATTATTAGATAAGTGAGGACCATGTGTGACACAGAGTGTACTATGTCAGAATACTATAATGAAATACCAAACAAAAATAAAAGAGGACAGATTTCTTTTGCTCACAGTTTCAAAGGATTTAGCCAGCATTGCACTCAGGATGCAGAGGCACAGCTCCTACTGTGGGCCTGGAAGCAGAGAGAGAAATCTTGCCTGGCTGGCTTGATCGCCTGGGAGTGGTTCTGCCTGCCTTAGTTAAGCCTTCTGGAAATGCCCTCACAGACATATGCTGCTGGTGTGTGCTTATTAATTCAATCAGTTTGATCATCAAATTAACCAAATTCAAATATACTTGAGCTATTTGGGGTTATTTTTTCTCCATATAATCTCAATTGACACTATCGGGAAATGTAATAGGAAAATAATAGATTTTTTTCATTGTTATTGACAATATATCAAAGTACCTACTGGATAGCAAAGCTGTCTTGATGTTTTTAAACAAGGGCCAAAATTTTATCTTTTGAGAATTAGTATTATGAAATTTCTGTGACTATCCATGTTTATATTCATATGTGCATACTTGCTTGCATCTATGTATGTATTCACATGTGTATTCTTGTGTACATCCATGCAGAGAACCACAGGTGTGTCCGTGTGTATACTCATGGGTATATTCTTGTGTCTATCCATGTATGCATCCATATGTCTTCACATGTGTATCGATGTGTGAATTCATATGTAGTATATATCCATGTACAGTATATATCCATGTGTGCATCTATGTGTGAACTCATATATATATATAGATATATATATGCGTGAATCCATGTGTATATCTTGTGTGTATCCATGTATATATCCATGTGTGAATCTATGTGTATATCTGTGTGTGTATCTATGCTTGCATCCGTGTGTGTATATATGCGTATATCTATATTTGCCTCAATGGGTATATCCATGTGTGCATCTATATGTACATTCATGTGTGTATCCATACATGCATCCACATACATATCCATGTGTATATTCATGTGGAGTGATGGATATGTGTCACCTTTTCTACAGATACAACTCTGATAAGAGAGTTTGTAGATGAGCAGAATCCATCATGTCTGCCACCAGGGCCTCATGAGGAACAGTTCATTTCACCAACAAAACATTAGAGAATACTATGGGCCTCACAAAATTTTCTATATTCTTGGATTAGGTGTTGTTCCTGATGAAACCTGACAGGAAGCATTTCTCGGGTGTTTTATTTCTGTACACAAGGCAATAACTTCTTAAACAGAATCCTGATTTCTGAAAAGCCACTCATAGTTCTTAAAATAGTCTATGCAAGGCATGTTTCTCAGACCTTGCCAAATCCAAGAATTTCCAAGTATGTGTAGTATGTCACCTAACAGATTTCTTTTTCTTTCTTGAGTATGGGGAGAGAGAAGGGGGACATATGTGAGAGGGATTTGACTAATCATGTCTGTCTCCAAGAAACATTCTAGTTCAGTGAAGCAGAAGGAAAGGGAAAAACAGAGGCTAAATTGAATACGTCTTATGCTGTCTACAAACTGTAGTCGATAGTAAACAAAGCCCTTAGCGTCACGTTTGTTGTAGGAGACAAGAACAATGAGAGCTTCCTGCTCGGTTTTCCTTTTCTAAACAGGATTCAAAAGTGGAACCACAACAAGAAGATCCAACTCTGGAAAATATGTAAAAATTCTGAAATATAAACTTTTTAGCAAAGTTATTCTCTCTCTCTTTCTCTCTCTCTCTCTCTCTCTCTCTCTCTCTCTCTCTCACACACACACACACACACACACACATTTTAAAGAAAATCTATACAGGGTGCTATTTTATTTGACAATGAAAGTAAACCAGTTTCATTTGAAAGATGTAGAAGTGACAAAATTACTTATGAGTCCATTATAATGAGCAGATACCACTAACGTAAGTGGTACATTGGACTTATAAGAAGTTCAACAGGGTGCAGGTTTGTGATTTAGGGTTTGGAAGACTTAGAAAATTTACTAATGTCTCTGAATTTTACTTGAATAAAATAAGTATCTTCCTTAGAGTTTCTATTGCTATGACAAAACACCGTGACCAAAAAGCAAGTTGGGAATGAAAGGGTTTATTCAGCTTACACTTCAACATCGCTGTTTATCACAGAAGGAAGTCAGGACAGGAACTCAAACAGGGCAGGACCCTGGAGGCAGGAGCTGATGCAGAGGTCGTGGAGGAGGAGTACTGCTCACTGGCTTGCTTCAGCTGGCTTGCTCAGCCTGCTTTCTTATAGAAACCAGGACCACCAGCCCTGGGATATCACTCCTCACCATGGAATAGGCCCTGCCCACACTGATCACTATTGAGAAAATGCCTACAGCATTATGGAGGCTTTTCCTCAACTGAGGCTCCTTCCTCTCTGATGACTCTCGCTTGTGTCAAGTTGACACACAAAACCAGCCGGTACAATAAGACATGCAATTTTCAAAGTTATTCTAAAGGTTAATTGGCACACTATTGGGGAAAGCTGGATAGCTTTTGAAGACATAAAAATTATCAATTCTATCAATTTATTTTCCTTTCAGCTTACACAAATACAGTTCAGAATGGCTGGAAGAAAAATTAACATGACACCCCGAGAGAGACATAAGGATCCACCCTATGAAGTATCATTTTTCCTGCTTCTCAGTCCTCACTCCTTACCAACACTGTTAAAGCTTCAATGCCTTTATCTTTTCATTGAAGAAACCTTTCAGACAACACATTCTGGTCGTGAGTTCCCTCGCCTCGCTCCTCCCAGAACTTCCCCACCTCCCCACCCACCCTACCCCACGCCCTCTCTCTCTCTTCAGAAAACAAACTTCTTATGGTTTGCATTCTGAACATGTTTCTCTTTTGTTAAGTCTCCTGTCATGATGGCTCCCCAAAGTTATCTTCAGTAACAAGACTCACAACTCTGTGCACTGATGTATCTGAGAATGGCCATATTCTTTGCTATTCATAGATGGCCCAGGACGCACCCTTTTCTTCCCACTGTTCACCACAGGCAGTGTGTCTTCCTCCTCTGCCATTTCTTGATGCAATTACACTCAAAGCCGCAAAATAGAAAAAAAAAAAAAGCCATAAAATAGCCATGTTCTGCGGAGGTGTGTGGGAAGAGGAAGTGCTCTAAGACAGAGCTAGTATCCTACATTGGTTCAAATTAAAAATGAAGTTGGCACTCACTTTAAGAGAAAAGAAACTTTAGTAGTTAAGAGCATTTAAGACGGTGGAATTCTGGGGTATTTTGGGATCTTTAAGCAAAATATTGAAATGTGTGGCCCAAGGTTGGTATATCACATGGGCAGGCTAAAATGCTTTTTTGAAGCAATCTGATATTTTTAAGCATATTCATTGGTATTTAATAATATTTAATAATACTTGTCAATTATTAGGATGAGAAATGAACAAAAATTCTAGTTTCTCAAAGGTGGTAAAGGAGTACAGAGCAGGGAGAAATGAATTAGGAACGTCTGCACCGACAACGTTCTCAGTACCGTGAGGACCAGGAAGCTCTGCTGCTGCTGCTGAAGCTGATTTGATGAACTGAATTTCTTCTGTACTCAGTAATTGTTCCTGTGCCCGCTGCATTTTTGTTTGACTTCATGCAGACAATCCAGTCTCCTTCAATCTACAGTGCCACAAAATAATAATTGTAACAATAACAATTTAATTAATATTAATTAAATTTTAGAAAGACCCAAATATAACCTTAAGTGAAATCAATGTTACTTCTTTATAAGACATATTTTTAATTTTTTAAAGTTTTATTTCTTTGTTGAAAACAAATGGAATAGCAGATAATTCATTGTAATACTGGCTTCTATATTGCTTCATATTTTTAAAGATAATAACAGATCTTTTTTTCTGGAGCTATATTAATATGGCCATGGCCATAGAAGACAGACTTAGGGTACCTCAAATTCCGTGTTCCAAAGTGGAAGCTGTTTCATGAAGTTGTATAGTTTTATAGAAAAAAGAAGGCCACAAAGCAAAGCAAATTTTAATATCCATTGGTGTGTACATCAAAGAAGCAATTCCATCAATATGAGGGGCGCTTTCCTACAATCTCCCATGCTCTCTGATGACAATCTTAGTTTTGGGGTAGGTAGACGCTCGGGGTGTGCTAGGTTAAGAGAGTCTAAAAGGTTTTCATATATTAGTCACAAGTTATTAGTTCCCACAGACACGTGGGAAAGGAACGACTATTTGGGAGGCTAGAGCTGGCTG